ACGTGATGTATTCGTTTCTGAGCGGACAAGCCGATATAAAGCCAGATCAGTGATAATTATGGCGCTGGGGTGTCCCAGCTTTCACACACACACACACACACACACACACACACACACACACACACTCCGTCATCACATGGACATGCAGACTTTTAAAAGGCCAAACTGTAGGCAGCTCACGTGTCTGCGAGGGGACACCAGTGGTATCAGCTGGTCCCATATTGATCCTGCACTGATCGGGCTGCGAGCTGCGATCCCACAGAGCCCAGATAAAAGTCAGAGCTTTGATTTTCCTCAGTGTCTTTTATTATTTATAATTATTTGTGAATACATAACATTTGAAGTCATGTTTGATGAAGTGAACCTTTATGGAGTCTTTCAAACAAAACCGTTGTTGTTAGTTGATAGACACAATCAAAGTGAAGTGAATTGCGCATGGTTTTAATAAATAAGCTGATGAGAAACAGTAAGAAAACAAAACAACTGTTGATTTCCATTATGTGACTCAGAGATATATATTTTTTGTAGATGTGAGTAATTCCATAGAAACTTCCTTAGAGAAATTCTCCTTTGTGTATTTTGGGTGGCACTGTTAGTGTGGTATGCTTGGCAGTGGTGGTTTTGGAAGAAAAATGCACTTCATGCTAATAGAAGTACACGCTCATTAGGCATTTTAAGTCAGTCAAAATATTATGACAGTTATAAACTTATTTATTTTTCCCTTTTTATGTCAGGGGCCCAGACTTGATGATATTTACCTTTATTTATGCATGATTTTCTTCATAATTGTGATGGCGAAGTACCACTAAAAACAGAAAACAATCTTGTAAAGTAAAGTTAACATGTGCGATGACATTTGTAAACAAAGAGTGAATAAAGCTGCTGGAACTGAGCAGCATCACGTCTCACACTTCAAACAGTCTCGCTCCCGGTGCGCAATAATGAAGGAGAGGGTTGCAGGCTGCAGGATGAACATGAATTCTCGGTCCTTGCTAGATGCAGTGTATCACCGTGAGGAAAAGGCACCGGCAGAGCAGCTTAGTGTGCCTTTAATGACATGCTGGCTTGCCCTGGTATTGGTGACTGATTTAACCCGGGTGGGAAACGACCTTGTGAGCTAAAGCTTATGGGAACGACTGCATCCTGGAGTGCGAGAGAGAAGGGGGGACTGGGAGTTAAGCACATTAACAAGGGAACAGCTCCACCTACGCTCGCACAGAGCAAACGGTTGGAAAGTAAACAAACTACTTCATCTGTGGTGCAAGGTTTCAGCTCCTTTTACTAATAGAAAACTGCTGATTACATTGATTTTTAGTCCAATTGTCCCTCCGCGCCTCACCGTGTTCACTCTGCGTGTCTGTCTGTGTTTGTGTTTCAGTGGGAAGCCGGCCAGTAATCTCACCCCTTAATGATGCAAAGGTGAGGAACAAGACTTTATTTTTGAATTTCATCCATCAGTCTGCTGCTTTTTAATTACTCAACTGTAAAATATGTGTGTGTATTGTACCATTAGGTTGAATGTATTATTCAGGAGACACTGAATGAAGATGGGTCACCACATGATTGTGGCCCACAGCTAGCAGGTAGGTAACCAATTAGCTGTTCTTAAGAGATCAGATGGTGTCATGCAGGGTTTGGTGTGTGCGGTTTGATTGCACGGTGATTAGGCTCGCTTGTGTCTAATTGGTTTTTTGCAGATGAACTTGATGAGGTGCACAGGCATCAGGGTCTTCTCAGGGAGCTGCAGAAACTGGCTGATGATGGTACACATGAATTCACACTGCCTCAGTCTGATGTTGTTTTTAAGATATTACTACTAAAAAAAAAACCATAAAACATGGGCACTTATATTTGTTGTCTTTTTTTATGTCACACTGACTGTTTCCATTTTTCAGAGAGAGATAAGGAGCATGGTGATGAACGGCAGCGGTACGAGTACAATCTGGCCAATGATGAGAAGGATGAGAATGACTTCGAGGAGACGGGCGAGGACGAGAGAGATCTGAGCAACCTCGCAAAGGAGACAGAGGGAGAGGAAGAAGACAAGACAGAGGATGATGACACCAAGGAGAAGGTGATGGAGGAGCCGCGCATTGAAGACAGAGAGAGGGATGACGAGGAGGAGCGAGCCAAGGAGCTCGAGGAGCTGCTTGCCGAAGAGCTCGCCAAGAAAGGCAAGGAGGAGAGAAATGACGAAGAGCTCAAAGAGCTGCTGAAGGAGCTTAAAAAGAAGAGGTATGAGGCGGTGAAGGAGAGGGAGATCCAGAAAGGTGCTGGGATGGAGCACAAAGACAAGGTGGAGGACAAGAAGAAGGAGCAGCAGGGCAAAGAAAAGAAGGAGGAAATGGTGGAGGACTTGGAGAAGCAGAGGCTCGAGGAGAGGAGGAAGAATGAGGTGGAACTGATGGTGGAGAAAGAGAAGGTGGAAAAAGAGTTGAAGGAGCTGCTCAAGGAGCAGGACAGCAAGGGCAAGCCAGAGCAGGAGAGGGAGAGGAAGGAGAAGCAAGAGGAGCTGGATGAACTCGTCAGGAAGATGAAACGGGTGCAGGAGGAGGAACAGCAGGAGGTGCAGGGCAGGGAGAAAGAGGAAGACGAGGATCAGAAGACGGGGGAAGAGAAGAAGGAGGACAGTGAGAAGAAGAAGGAGGAGGGCGAGGAAGGAGACAAAGAGCCCGACTCCGAGAAAACAGAGACTGGATTTAAGAAGGAAGAGGCAGCAAAGGAGGTGGAGGTGAAGGAGCCCCAGCAGAAGAGAGTGATGGAGAAAGCGAGCGATGAGGCTACACGGCAGTTTGAGCGGGAGCGGTACAAGGGTGAGGAGGAGGAGGATGGAAACGGGGAGGACGAGGAAGATGAGGATGAATATGTCAGGGAGGATGAGGAGGGGCAGCAGGAGGAGGAAGACAATGAGGGTGAAGAGGAGGATGAAGAAGATGAAGGAGAAGTAAGTTAGAACAATTAATGGGTACATTCAGGCTTAACTGCAGATTACAGTGTAATTATACTGTAGTTACTTGGTAGTTATTGGGATGGAACCCATAGATTCACGATATCATCCTTGGTGATGTAGTATTGATAAAGGGACACCAAATAACGACATTTTATTAAATAAATTAAAATTCTCTGGGAATACCAGAACCAAAAGGGGTCATGTGACCTGCCAACCTTGATAATCTCATTTTTAATCACATAAATCAATAAATAAATAACTGAAGTAAGATAACTTTTTTAATTGGCTAAAACAAATACTGACAAAGATTAAATCTGAGGACATTACATGCGGTTAAAAAAAGGTGATAAATCACAATGTTACTGTAATATTCAGTATATCACAAAGTAAAAGATTTTACACTTACAAAATCAAACATGAAGCATTAAGACCAAAACATCCGAGTGAAATGCAACTGAAATATATAAAATCAGTGGTTCATTTATTCAAACAATTAATCATTCAGGTAAATATGCTTGGCATATGGTCGGTGTACACAAGTCAATTTAATTTGAGCAGACTCCATTAAATGGAACATTTATTATTGCATGTTTTTTTTTGTTTTGTTTTGGGTTTTTTTTTTTTGGGGGGGGGGTCTCTTGTTACATTGACAGTGGTTTGGGATAGTTGAAAAATATGCTTTCTCTTAGCTTGTCTCCTCAAATTACAAATGCACTGATTCCAGGCTTGTGCAACTGTTTTTTAATCTGCAGGAGCTGCTGGAGATTGAAGCAGAGCTGCGCAAAGTGGCTGCAGAGCTGAGGGAACTCCGCAGAGGATAAGACACCCATAACCCACACACACAGCAGAATGACAAAACCCCTTTGTTGCATTCACAGTCATACATTCGGCTCACACAGTTTCCATTTGACAGCCTTCAAATCCCTTCAACACTCAGAGGAATCTGTAAATGGACATTAGTGCAAAGTGTACATACTGTTGGTTCATTTCTGCTTTTAGATTGCCTGGAGGGAAAAAGAATACTCTTGTTTTCTTCTCTTTTGGTCATTTGGATGTGTTTTCGTGTTGAAGAAAAAGACGTAGTTTTCCCAGAGAATCTGAAAGCTTGTGCTCATCACCGTTGCCCCTGTCTTCTCGAGTATCTGTAAATAACGTGCGTCAGGTAGACAGGCGATAGATGCAATAGCATTTCAGCACTTTCATTCAGATGTTAGTTTGATTGCAGATTGTCAGCCACGAAGAGTCACGATCATAGCAATCAGCGCTTCTTTTACTCTGAAGGTTTCATCTTTGATGGCGTGTTCTTGTTTGGGGGAAAAAAAAAATACAGTTTCCCTATTATAAGTAGTTAGTGTATTTTAATATACAGTATATTTTGTGCAATAACTGATAACTGTGTGTACCCTGCTGTTCCGACTGTTAACAATACTGCTGATATTTGTACCCAGGAGGAAGTCGTTATCTCCTCTTCATTTCTTTGGCGACTTAAGTAGAAATGAGGATTGTTTGTTTCATTTGGCGCACGCACTGTTACAGCCAGACTGTTCACGACGAACCGGGGTGACACGAGCGAAACACACACTTGCACGTACATCACACGTTAAGTTTGTCTTTTGCGTGGTTGATCGTGTGGCAGAAGGAGGTGATGTACTTACAGCTTACAAGGTCTAAAAGTGTCACCTCAGGTTTCTCAGCCAGCTTTGCACTCTTATCTTAACAAGCCAAGGAGGAGCTGAAGGAAGGAGGAGAGGAAACACTAAAGCCATTTGTTGTCTTTTTGGTAACAGTGACACCGACAATAACGTCGATAAATACTAGGTAGTGTTACATCCCAGTTTTAATGGCTGTCATGTCATTTGTGTAAATATCAGATATGTGGTCTGTAAGCCAAGGTCATAGGAAATATGAAGCAACACCGCCCCCAAGAGGACACTGGGCAGATATGCACTTAGTGCAGGATTAACAGGGTTGCTACTGGAGGCCAACTTAGTGCAATAACACAGTATAGACTAGAGCACACGCGAATGCAATAATTAGCCAAATACTGAATTATTTAATGTATTTTAATATGTAATCAAAGTGCATCATGTGGTACTCGTATACAAATATTTCTCTTTTTTCTACAAGGCCGAGATTTACGATACGTTTATGTATTTGAACACTGGCCGAGGCGACGGTCAACTTGTGTAAACACGTGGTAATAAGACACGTTATGAATCAACACTGACGATGTTATAGCAATCTATTCCAAAGAGGAGATGCTTGTTCGCTCAAAGGTTAATCAACATGAATGTACTGTAGTTCCTTTTTCTATAGAAATACAAAATGAATCTCACAAACCAGCAGGATCACTGCAGGAAACGTCTGTGGGGAGGTGACGCATAGAGCATAGAGGACATATGACACAATATGGAAAAAAGTGATTAAAAAAGGCATTTGTAATATTACTGGCCAATCAGAGTGCTGTATTTTGTGCCTGCTGTATCTTCTTCTATGCTACCTGTCAATCAATAAACAGAAAAGTATACTCAAGTACTGTAGGGTGCCTTTTTTTTGCTTGTCTGTTGACCTTAACAGAGCAGAGACAATTACCAGGTCAAAGTAATTAGTGTGTTTTGCAGAGGATTAAGTTCGGGATCAAGTTTTGCTTATCCTTTTGATGAAACCAATCCGTGATCAACTCCTGGGGTGACAAACACCCACCGTTTCCTCAGAGGAGCCACCTGTAGTGTGCGAACCAGCAGCGGCGTGTTTGTCCAACACTGACTGGATGTGGCTGAGCAGAGAGGAGAAAAACTGAGGCATGCCCTCGTAGCCTAGCAGAGAAAAGAGCGCGTCAGAAAACGACAGAGTCTTCCTGTGTGTAAGTCACGGTGTACTCCGGCACTACCTGGGAAAATGTTGATGTCTATGACGGTGAGCGCGTGCGTTCCTATGTTGACGATGACGTCCACGCCAAACAGGGCCATGCCGAGCTGAGCTCGGAGCTCCTTGACGAGGGCGGCCACAGCATCTGAGCTGGGAGAAGGCGGGTCCACCATATGTTCATCCACCTTAGAATATGAGACGTGGCATTTTATGGTGGACATGAGCATCATTTGACCTGTTGCTTTAAACTAAGTCTGAAATATTACTCACAGACGTGAGATTAGAGTTCGACTCTGGTTTGGACACCTTTTGGCTGTTGAAGAAGATGGTCTTCCTGTCTGCAGGCAGGGAGAAAGAGAAACAGTTATACAGAAAGCAAAACTAGGTGATAACAGTGGCACAAGATAGTAAAAGTAGTAGAGAAAATGAAATGCTGGAACTCAAAAGGAAGGGACACAAAACGAAAGGAAAAGCAAGAAAGGTAAGGGCGATGCAAGTGAGTTAAAAAAAAAAGTTAAAATATAAAGTTAAATGATAAAAGACGGGAAAGACGAAAGGAATATTGGCGGGGTGGAAACTGACCACAGGGGCCGGAGGGAAAGTTCTTGATAGAGGGTCTCTCTACGCAGCAGTGCTTGTCTCCTACCACAAACACTTTGTACAAAACGGCTCCGTGGTTCACAAAACTCTGAAGCACACAGGGAGGATGGATATCAGCCAGACTGGCTGCACTGAAGAGCAGACACATCTGCAGCACATGGAGACCACATGAGATTAAGAAATGGAAACTTACAAGAATAAATTTTACAGTTAGTAGTTAGTAGATATCAAGTGGGATTTTGCGAGGCAGGAAAAACCAAATCAGCTACCTCATGTGAATATGAGCCGTGTGCCACTCTTGTTTTACAAACTGAGGTGAGGAAAAGAGGAAGTGTTTGTGTGTTAGTATTTTATTTTTGTAAAACTGAATTGCATGTTACCTCCAGGCTTCACTCACACACACACACACACATGCATGCATGCACACAAAGACACATATAATAAGTAAGAAATGTGGAGGACAGACATTAAGTGAACTGACTGAGAGGAAATATTAGGCCCTGTCTCATCACAGCCTGCTGAATGGATGACAGGTCACTGCCACTGTGGACCTCGAGGCATGGGGGACTGCAGATACGCCAGTCTGACAAACAAAGAAGAATGAGTAACTGTTAATATCTGCGATTGAGCTGTAAGCTGTGTTACCGTTGGGCTAAGAAGCTGCAGTCACCTCGGAGTGAACTGTTCAGTTGGCTCATTATCCGACACGAGACAAAGCGGTCTAATAGTTTAGACATGGCAGGCAGGGGATCCAGCAGCACTGTGTCAGGATGAGCTGAAACATAACTCTGTGGTGGGAAAGAGAGAGGAGTCACTAACTGCTCATTAATGAAAACGTCCAGCTGCACCATTATTATTAACACCCGAGATTAAAAGACTACACGCAGAGGGTACTGGAGTATCCTCCGTCAGCAGCCCCAGATGAACACACAGTTTACTGGACTTGGAAAATGAATAGTTTAAATAGGTGCAGCATTACCTGAAAGTTATCAAGGAGCTGCTGTGATTGGCTATCGTGCTCAGCTTCCACAATTACGTCAGACAGCTTGTGAAGGATGATGTCAAAGGGTCCCTGAGGGCCCAGGGGCTGAGTGAGATCAATCTACAATAGAAAAAAAAATGTACAGGCTATGTTGATGGACTTCTTTTAATATAGAATTTTCTACTTTTTATTACAAGCTTCATTATCTTATTCTTTAATCCCAGTTTGGATTAGTGAGACAGACTCCCTCTCTACTTTTAGGACTAGACTTAAACTTTCCTTTTTCATGTAGTTAGGGCCGGATCGGGTGACCTTGAATCCTCCCTTTGTTACGCTGCAATAGACCTAGGCTGCTAGGGGCTTCCCATGATGCACTGAGTGTTTCTTCTTCAGTCTCTATATATATTTATACACATTTATAAACTCTGTTTTTAATCATTAATTATTAAAATCTCTGTCTTCCTCCCCTCACCCCCAACTGGTCTCACAGATGGCTGCCCCTCCCTGAGACTGGATCTGCAGGAAGTATCTTCCTTTTGAAAGCGAGTTTTTTCCCCTCCCCCTGCCAGCAAGTGTTTGCTCACAGGTCGTCATTAGACTGTTGGGATTTTCTCTGTATTACAGTAGGGTGTTTCCCTTACAATATACAGCACCTTGAGGAAACTATTGCTGTGATTCGGTGCTATATAAATACAATTTTTTTAATTGAATTGAACCCATTCGCACACATATCCATACCTTATAATGTTCACACACACACACACACACTCCAATCAATGCACGAGGAGCAACTCAAGGTTCAGTATCTCGCTTGACATGCAGACTGGAGGAGCTGGGGCTCAAAGCACTAACTTTACAATTACCACATGACCCACCCACTAAACCTACAGAACCTGGCGCTCTCGGGCTGTCTCTAAACAACTGTGCTTATCTTTTAGGTCAAATCAGATTGGGCGTGCTCAGGGTGGTGCAGCTGTAAGCCATAATTTAGATGTAGCCAATCTATGCTGTAGGAGTTTAAAATAGCTAAATTCTCATATTATCACTCATATTATCTTCATTTGTGCAGTCTTGAAGTGTAATAAATGTACAGTTGCAAATGGCGGTTTGTTTTAGCACATGTAGCTGATCACTGCACCAATTAAGAAGAGATCATCTAAAAATATAGGAAGTCAAATTCTCAAATGGCTGAGCAGGAAAAACACAGGCGTTACTGTTAGCATTGATAATGTCCCCATTCTGTCTATAACAGTGATAAAACAAGAATAAAGCTAATTTGAATATCGCCTCCCAAAAAAGTGCGTGCTACAAGACATGATCAAATCTGTGTTATTACTTTAAGTTTGAAATCATTGCATATCCAACCGGTAGTCAGCAGCAAGGACAGCAGGGGTGTTTCTTTGAATTGTGGCCACTTTTCCTAGAACACTTGGAAACCTATGACCAAGCGCCTTGTCATAGGGGAGTAATCAGACTGAAGGTGAATGTTCTTGTGATTTGGTGCTATTTAAATAAAACCAAATAGAAAATCAGCACTGTCTTTAAGACTTATAGGATTCGAGAAGAGAACAAAGAAAAAAAACAAAAGAGTTGACCTCTGGGGAACACCGTGTGACAGCTGTCTTGGCTTCAGGAGGGATTGGACGTTTTACAACCAAACCACGGAGCCAGTAGATAATTATGTACATTAGCAGGGCCTTGTCACTGGCACACCTACAGTCAATAGATTGCAACACAGTGATTCGTAATAACTTCCAGAAGCAAGGTCAACTGCATGACATCACACAGTATGTAAAAGGTTAAAACACCACATGAAATATATATAGACCTTGTTCGCGCAGTTCTTTTGATTTTCTGTTGGTATTGTTTCACACTTCGTTTTAAGCCACCAGCAAATCTTTCAGACAAGAAAAAAAGAGTCACTTCCTGATATCTGCTCCTGAAATCTAAATCACCATAAAACACACCCAGGTGGTTTTACACACCCATGCAGTAGTATATGAAGATATTTGCGTGCAGTTAAATGTCTGAACAGTTATGATCACGGATGGATTACAAGTTCACTACAAGCAGATTATGTGACTATGAGCCCATAGTGTTCCTAATCTAGTGTCACAGCTATCAAGCAAGTATGAAAACATCCATCTACCGTCACGCACTTACAAAGACATGCAATGCTAAGCATGTTCGCCCACACACACACAAACAATAAAGTTTTTAGCCTTTACACTTAAACTTTTTTTGAAAAAATTCCCCTAATTTGGGCTTTTACTCCTTGGAGTCTGACACAGCATCACTCACACACTGGCTTGTTCCACTCGTCTTAATTAAACTGTAATTATCAACACGAATACGTAACAAATAAAAAAAAAACTGGCCAGTCTTCAGCCTCGCATTTCACCTGACTCGTCATTGTGATTGCAAAAGATTTAACACACAGCCAAGATTTCATGGGCGAAAAGAACTCACCTTTACCACTTCCACTCCATGGTCTCTGTAGGAAAAAATATTAAAATGCTTATAGTCTATTGTTATGTTGTTATGTTACACATAATGAACAAGACTATGCTGACAAATCATTCAGTATAGAGAATTTTACAGTTGAATAGCCTCATAGTAAAACAATAAGTACACTTACGCACAGAACCGTATGAACGCGTCCAGGTTCATCCTCCTTCGCTTCTTGTCGCTGAGCCAGCAGCCCACCCTGCGCTCTGACATCCGGACCCCTGCAGCCGAGGGACCGCACACGCGCACGGACAGACGATCCATTCATCCCTTCCCTCTGCCACTTCTGCTCGGGAGTGTCGAGTCCTCTCACTATTTTATGGGGACAGTCATGAGTCATGGTTGTCCGAGTCCGCACGGGAGGAGCGAGAGGGCCAGTTTAACTGGAAAAGTCTCTGACTTCCTCGTTGCCGCTGCCATCCAATTAAAGCGGCCGGGGCCCGTCATAGAGCCGCTCTGAGCGAAAAACTGAAAGAGAAAGTAAAAATCCTGTCGGGGAAGTTACTCCATTAGCCTGCTTTCACGGCAGTAGCACAGGCATGTCATTTCCTATTATCTGACTCTTGAAAAACACACGAAGTATCGATTATTTGCGTGCTCATATAGACATATTAAGTAAAGTTCACCTGAGGTCACAAGGAGGAAGATGTCCCGAGGGTCCAACGCAGGTTTTGACCGACACATCACCATTTTTTCACCAGAGGGCCGCCTCTACCAAGTCGGTAAGGGACATTTTCTGTTGTGTGTTAGCTAACAGCAAACCCGGACCATGCCTAGTGTACAGTGCAGTAGCACAGTCATTACCAGGTGTGAGCTAACTGCTGCTGCTAATCGAAACAACACTACAAAAACATGATGGAGCAAAAGTAGCTAGCTTCTTCTGGTTTCGGTGCGGAGTACGGTTAGCGTCCAAGTTGAACACGTACTAGTTGCTATATCTGTTTTTACTCAAGCTTGAATGTTTATAACCTAGTTAAATTGCAATATAAATAACTGCACACAGTTAGTAGTTAGTTTGAGTTAGTTTTATTCTTTATATGTGCTTTTAGTGTTTGAAGTATCCCGAAAAGAGGAAAAATTAGTTCCTCTAAGTTGTTTTCATAACTATCATGGTGTACGTTGCGGGGGCAAACTCGGTGCCTTCCCCCTCATAAATTAAATAATCAGAATAAAAAAATAAAGGGGGAGGTTTATGTTGTTATTTTTTCTCATATGTGTCTTGTGCTGCGATGCAGAGTATGCCTTCAAAGCCATCTCTCAGAGTGGGTTGACCTCCGTTGGGATCCGGGGTAAGGACACCTCGGTGGTGGTCACACAAAAGAAAGTTCCGGTAAGACCTCAAACGCGTCTCACTAGTGATGATGCTGATGCTGATGATGTGAGCTGAAGCCAAACAGTGAGGCCACTTATGACTCAAAGCATGTCAGCAAAAAGCTTGAATAAGATACCCTGTATATAACGCGATAGGGCCTCAAACACACCTTTTCGCATGTTTTTCATTCTCCCATGTCAGCTTCATCATCTAGTCACTGAAGTTATGGATGTTATGGAGTGTGCACGGATCCAGATATGATCCAGAAGACCCATTCATTTATCCAATTTAGGGTTACAGGAGGGCTGGAACTATGATAGGGTGAAAGGCAGGGTCTCTCGGAGACCACAAAGGCCCTCTGGAGAAAGGTTTTAATGCCAGACAAGACAAATATTGAGCTATTTGGCCACAATGGCAAGAGGTGTGTTAGAGGAGTAAAGCTGCGGCTTTCAAACCTAAGAGCACTCACTGTATAAGCGGTCAAGCATAGTAGTGGTCTTAAGTTGCCCTTGGGCTGTTTTGCTGTACCAGTACCCAAAGAACCAACCTTAGCCCTGTTGAAAATTTGTGGACTATGCTTCAGATGTCATGATCTTCCTAAAAACCAAAATAAATGAACTCTACCAATTCGAGCAGAAGGACTGGTCATATATCCAGCCAGAATTATACCAGAACCTTTTTGATGGCAACCAAAAGTGTCCAGCTTGCTAAGGCACATTTAACCAATGATTAGTGGGGGTGTCTGTATATAATTGATCCCATCTATAAATATTTCATCCTATGTGAATTAGAGAAAAAGACCCTGGAAAAAGAACATCACAAAAAAAAAAGAAAAGGAAAAAGGAAATTATCAGAAGATCAAAAAGACCTTGACATTCATGCTCATGATGAGTACATGTAAAGTTTTGACTACAAATGTATAATTAAGTACTTAAAACCATCAGAGATGCATTTCATGAGTCTAAATTGTTACTTTGACAAAATACTGCAGTGTCTAGATTTATAAAGCTGGATATTTTTTCCTGCAGGATAAGCTGCTGGACTCTTCCACTGTGACCAACATGTTCAAACTAACACCTCGCATTGGCTGCGTGATGACCGGGCACAATGGTATGTATACATCACTTAACAGCATGCGTTTCATTATGATAATGTGTATGCTGTGCTGTCATAAATAATAATGAATAAATATGAGACGTGATGTATGTGTTGTTAAAGCGTTGATGTTCTTTTTGTGTGCAATTACACTCAAATCCTGTTGTTCCTGTGCAGCTGACAGTCGTTCCCAGGTTCACCGGGCCCGAGTGGAAGCTGGGGAATGGAAGTATAAATTTGGTTATGACATCACGGCAGACGTGTTGTGTCGCAGGTTGGCTGATATCTCTCAGGTGTACACGCAGAATGCTGAAATGAGACCTCTAGGCTGCTGTAAGTGGGCGCTTACGTGCATTTTTACATTTTATTTGCGTTAATATATAGATATAATTAATAGTTAAGACAGTTTAGTTTAAGGCACACATTAATAACACATATAAGAGCTCACAAACAGTCATTAACCCTTTAAGACCTACCATAGAACCAAGTCCGCCAGAGCTTATATTGTATTTTTACATGTTGTAGTGCCACTTTTGGGAGCATTTCAAGTTGCTATACATCAATACAACCATTATAGCCCAAATTTTAATAATATGTATGCATTAAGTAAATAGAAATTACATAAATTGCAAGAAAGTGCAATAAACTACAAAAAAATTGAAAATCATTTTTGTTTTTTTTAACATATATTTCTAGTTAGAGAAATTTAAGAGGTTTATCCCTCAAAACTGTAAATACAAAAAAGTTGCACAAAATAGTTTCCCACCACAGGAAATTTATTTTGAGTGTCATCATAGTTTTATTTTTGAAATACACCATTTTTTATATACTGCAGGAAAAACGAAAATAAATATTATAGTGCAAATTTGCAAAAAAGCAGCATATGCATCAAAATAAACTATTTCCAGCAGTGCAATATGAGTCCTAAGCATCTCAGAAACAACACAGACAAGTCATAAAGTCAAACATAACTTTTAAAAACACCAGTATAGGCTCATGAGGCCCTGATGGTAAAAAACTACATTTCCGCGAAAATTACGTCACTTCTGGTTTCGGGCAGGTAATGGCGGACATGCGATAGTTCACGCTGACGTCTATTCTAACGTAGGAAGTGTTATGAACAGCTGATCGGATCGGCAAAGCGTGTTTCTGGAATATTATGTTTTTGTTCCTGCAAGTGCTTTTTATGCCGTTTTTGCAAAGCTATATGTGGAAGGAAACCGTAACCTAGATCAAGCTGATGGCATAAGATGTAAGTACAACTCCTCTGGTTTCATATGCAAAAAAATTTATTGCGCTAGCTTACGTGGTTGCAGTTCTACAAGGATTTAAAAGTAGTTGCGCAAAACGGAGCATGCCCGCTCTGACCGGTTTTAAAGGGTTAAAGACTGACTGCATGTGCACTGAATGTTCACAAACTGAAGGACGGCTGTCTTAAGTTGTCCCCGTGTGCTCCCAGGTATGATCATGGTGGCCATTGACCCCCAGCACGGTCCTGTCCTTTATAAATGCGACCCGGCAGGCTATTACTGTGGCTTCAGAGCCACGGCGGTTGGAGCCAAACAGACGGAGGCTAACAGCTACCTGGAAAAGAAGCTGAAGAAGAAGCCAGATCTGAACCATGACAGGACAGTGCAGGTAAAATGAAGCTTGATGAAAACACACTTTCTCTGAATTGTTGATGCAATGCCTCCAATTTTAGTCGAAAAGATGAGTTATGCGGTGGTGGTAAAAGCTGCTGGGTGGAATCGAAAGGATTGTCCTCCAACAGAAAGGCCAAGGTATACCAACAGTGTCCCTGAATAAAACACTAGATTCCCGTCTGTCGCTATACAGGATGTTTTTACATCCTGCAAAAGTCAAATCTGTGCCTTTATCACTGGTATAGTCACTGCCTTGAATTATCTGCCTCACTTAGGATTAGATCATCATACATTGTTGAATTTGTTTTTCCTATACCTGCTCATTCCCAGAATAGCAGCCTCTGATGCACTTGGCCTTTTACCTTTGTTAGAATATCAACATCTCGGTGGTTGTATGTCAGTGAAGGAGAGGGTGTTGCATGTTTTCAGCATCTCTGATTGAGATATGATTTACAAGAGGATGACCTGTGAGCAAACAGGTCAATGTGACAATGAACCATAGCAGCCTGTCCTTATAACAGTTTCACATTGCCATTCATGTGACTCTGAACTTACCTCATAAAGTGTGACAGTAACATGAACCCTGCTTACATGTCTCAGGTCATCTCACCTGTAAAGAATCACTGATGCTGGCCTTACACCAAATAGCTCTCAGGCAATATCAGTGTCACAGACAAATGTCCCGTGTCACGACAAAATATTGGCAGTTTTCTGTCATCTCGATTGACTCAGTCAAAGCTGCCTTAAGTTGGTGTTGTTGTCGTCTCCATATTCCATAGGAATCACCCACGTTTGATTCAGTCGGAAGTCTTTGGTCATGGCTCAGGCAAATCACTTTCATGAACATGGCTGACACCCAGTAGCTTCTCTTCCTCCAGTCTCATTCTCAGTGGCATCTTATGTATGCAGCTCCTTCTGTTTAATGCTCAGTTGTCCAGCATTGTGTGATATTGTCAAAGGCAATTTGGTTAACTGGAAATAATAACCCTGAAAAAAATTCCCAGTGTTTGCAAAATCTTACAATCTATGACTACAAACTTTCGGTCAAGACACAGCATCTCTAGATTCTTCAGAAGTGCTTTTAAAGTCTTCTAGTGTGTGGTCGGCATTATACACTTTGTGTGACGATCGCTAAAACTGCCTGCTGAGTTGTCTATGATGTATTTAACGACATACACTATATGGACAAAAGTGTTGGGCCGCACCTCTTAATCTTTGAATTCAAGTATTGCCAGTCCCATTGCCACATGTGTACAAAGTCATGCACCGAGCAATGCAGTCTGCCTTTACAATAGGGCTGCCACAAACGATTATTTTGAGTCGACTAGTCACCAATTATTTTTGCGATTAGTCGACTAATCAGATCATGCGTCCATTGGACGTAAAACGTACAGCTTATTGCACCAGCA